GCGGTCAGGGAGGCTAGTGGCGATGAAATAGATAGTAATCGCCATGGGAGGAGGAAGCAGTGCAAGCTGCGTCTCAGTGCAAGCAGCGCGGTAACTAGAGTCGAGCGAGCGGAGGTGAGCAATCAAGTCAGCAGAGCGCTCAAATGAGGCGAGATCAGAGATCAGGAACGGGAGGAAAAGGCGGCCAAGAGAGACAGCAGCAGGAGTGGAGTAGCGGGCCTTAATCGTAGTCAGGTACTCAGCAGCAGTGGGAACCTGAGCAAAGTTTACCTCCTCAGACTCAGGGAGGAGGGTGCTGAGCGCGATGCAGGCCGCAGCGTCACGCGACGTCCAAGCTGTCAGGTCAGCGCGCTGGCTGGCAAAGTGGGCTCTAGCGGCGTCGTCAGGGGCAGGGCCTAAAGGCGTAGGTTCGGGGGGCGCAGGGAGGGCACCAGTAGCGTGCGCCCAGAGGGTCTCGCCTGACTGGACCTGACTCTCTAACTGACGGCGAGCGCGCATAAGCCAGAGTGAAAAGTCAAGGGGTCTACCGTCAGCGTCGAAACGAAGAACACGCAGAGTCGCCATAGTTAAAACTGACGGAAAAGCGGAGGCAGATGGAAAACTAGGTGGCGTGGCGAAACTCGATGGCGTGGCGGCCAGCGCGGCACGCAAGCACGCAGGGAGAAAGGGAGGCACGGGCGCAGCGGGCGAGCGGGCGAAGGGACGCGCGGGCGGGCGGATAGGCCTGGCGCGACGCGACGGGCGGGCGTTAAGGGCAGCCGCGCGGGGGGACGGCGCGACGCGACGAGCAGCGGGGGGCGACGCGACGCGACGGGCAGCGGGCGGGCGACGCGGGGCGACGAGCAGCGGGGGAGGGGGCGACGCGACGCGACGAGCAGCAGGCGGGTGACGCGAAGCGACGAGCAGCAGGGGGGGGGAGGCGCGACGCTACGGGCAGCGAGGGGGGGCGACGCGACGCGACGGGCAGCGGGGGGAGAGCGCGACGCGACGGGCAGGGAGGGAGAGCGTGACGCGACGGGCAGGGAGGGAGAGCGCGACGCGACGGGCAGGGAGGGAGCGCGCTACGCTACACGGTAGGCGGGTCGGCGTAGCGGGCACTAACGAACGAGCGGAACGGGCGGAACGAGCGGAACGAGCGGAACAGGCTCGGGCGGAATGAACGTGAATGGGAGGAACGGGATCCCACAGGATCCTAACCTAGGTGATTCCATGTTAGAATCGAAAGTGTTGGTTCATTGATGTTGGTTGGGGTACAAGTAGCAAACCCTAACATGTGTACCCCCTAAGACAAACCTCACTACAGGCTACAACATTTGACACGCGAGGACATCGACTCCTAGGTGCTAAGGGGCGTGAGTCTCTTCGAGTGCAAAATGCAAAAGTTGATTTTTCTGGGTGCGGAGATGCGTGGTTCGAAAGGAAAGTGGCGATGAATATCAAGTGTTAGTGCTAGCTAGTTAGTGCTAGGCTGGCATCGAGGTTCGGGCTAGTCCCGAAGCGTAGGCCGACACGGCCGGGCCAGCGGTGCATGGTTTGGTAAAACAGTGCGCGCGAAGTTGGCGAAGCCCCGTTAGCAGTAACGGGCGAACAACGGCTGGACTTTGTTATACGCGATGTTGATGGTACCGTAGCGGTAAGGAATGGCAAGGAATGGTAAGTTTGTGCACAAACTCTGTTTCACAACCTATAGGGCGCCGTCCTTTGGAGGTGTCACTTCTTTCAGTTTGCAAAGCAGATCGTCCACCGCACTGAAATCCCGCTTACTGCATAAAAATGGTGTAAACCCTTTCTAAAATCCGGTGGGCAATATTACTGTGCGGGATCGATCGCCAAAACGAGCCAGAGGTGACGCGTCCTAAAGAATAAATCCTACCCAGGTTTGCAGACCCCCTCGATCCTCTCCCCAGCGGGCACAGATCAGTGCAATCCTGTCGAAACGAGGCGCCCGCGCTTTCCGAGCGTGTAGCTCCGGCAGCAGTGATGACACGGCAGCTTGCTGGTCCGACGGGCGGCGGCACGGCGGCGATCGTGGTGGGCACGGCGCTGGGCGGGCTGGTGGGGTTCTACGTCATGCACCACGCCGAGCTGCGCTACAAGGCCCGTGCACACCGCGCTCCCCTACCATTCGGTTGCCGTTACTCCGTGTGTTGGAGCAAATGCCTTTCGCGTGCTCGTCAGCTACGAGCTTGCCTGCCCGCAGTTCCTCGCACCTCGCCCCCATCGCGCTCTTCCTTCCTCCAGGCCCTAACTCACCCTCCCCAAACCGACTTCCCTGATCCTTGTTCCCTCCTCCTCTTACCCGCCTCCCCTCGTCCCTCCGATTTTTTTTGTCTGCGGTCTCCCTCTCCACCACCCCCAGCAGGCCTGCCTGTGCATTCTGTGCGTGGGGAAAGGGGAGGAGGAGGGGGGAGGCTGGGGGGTGGGGGAGGGGTGGGCGAGCGACACAGGCGATGGGTTGGGAGGGATGGAGGTTGAGGAGGGGGGCAGTACGACGCCTCGTAGCACAAGGCGGGCGTGGGCGGGCGTGACTGCAGGCAACGCGCTTTGGCGATTTGATCAGTGCTGTGGCTGAGGGCGTGTGCCCTCAGCGGCACTCATCCCTATCCCACTCCCACCCGCGCCTGCTCCTCCCACCACCAGGAGCGATTGCGGCACGACATGGCGCGACTGACAGCAAGGGAGGAGGAGGCATCCGCACACATAGAAAGAGACGAGGGAGCGGCGCTGCACAGCCCAGAGAGAAGCTCGCATTGACCTCACTCGCACGCCCCACACGCATGGCAGCCGTCTCGTTCCCTGTGTTTCCAATTCCCATGGCTGCTCCTCCCACGCTGGCCATTCGTGCACCACATTACTACAGACAAGAGCTGCTTGCTGCTGCCCATGTGAGCGGGCACACGCTGGGAGTGAATTGTAGGAGTGGAACTTGCACACCTGCCCATGGGTGTCGCCATCATAGCAGCACCCACCACATTGTGCGTTGGCGGCTGTGTGTGTCGCTAAATCTAGAATATAGTAAGAATGAATGTATTTGTAGCTGACAACATCCCTGTTGTACTGTATCGGGAATGGCAATTGCTGGTGTAGCTCATGGTCAGGGTATAACCAGGTGCTACCTGTGAGCAGGAGGTGAATTTATAGGCACAAGGACCTTGTTAAGATTTGTTGCAAAGGTATCACATGCATACCTGTTCATCAATTTAGACTTGCAAAACAACAGGGCTCTAATTTCTAAATCTAACTGCGGCCGCTGAGAGGACCTCAACCGCAACCTCTAATTTTGGGACATGTTGCCAAGCACATGAAGGAAGCCCTGAGACAGCGAAGCATTCGCAGCAGAAACAGCAGCAGCAGCAGCAGCAGCAGCAGCAGCAGCAGCAGGAGCAGCAGGGGGGTGTGCACTACTGGGTGCGATGAGCGAGTCCCAGCACAGCATCGAGCCCGGTAGTGCGCACCCCAATGCCCTCACCTCCCCCCACACCCGCTCCCCAACTTGACCCTCCTGCACTGCCTGCCACCTCTGCCCTTGTCTGCGCACCCTGCTGCTGCCCCTCTGCACCTGGGGAGATAGGTGTGCATGGTACAGTGGGTACAGGGGCAGGGGCAGGGGCAGGGGCAGGGGCAGGGGCAGGGGCAGGGGCAGGGGCAGGGGCAGGGGCAGGGGCAGGGGCAGGGGCAGGGGCAGGGGCAGGGGCAGGGGCAGGGGGAGGGGCAGGGTTAGGGGCAGGGGCAGGGGGAGGGGCAGGGGTAGTAGGAGGGGCAAAACGGGGAGGGGCAGGGGCAGGGGTAGGGGCAGGTGCAGGGGGAGGGGCAGGGGTAGTAGGTGGGGTAGGGGCAGGGGCAGGGGCAGGGGCAGGGGCAGGGGCAGGGGCAGGGGCAGGGGCAGGGGCAGGGGCAGGGGCAGGGGCAGGGGCAGGGGCAGGGGCAGGGGCAGGGGCAGGGGCAGGGGCAGGGGCAGGGGGAGGGGCAGGGTTAGGGGCAGGGGCAGGGGGAGGGGCAGGGGTAGTAGGAGGGGCAAAAAAAAACGGGGAGGGGCAGGGGCAGGGGTAGGGGCAGGTGCAGGGGGAGGGGCAGGGGTAGTAGGTGGGGTAGGGGCAGCAGGGGCAGCAGGGGCAGCAGGGGCAGGGGCAGGGGCAGGGGCAGGGGCAGGGGCAGGGGCAGGGGCAGGGGCAGGGGCAGGGGCAGGGGCAGGGGCAGGGGGAGGGGCAGGGTTAGGGGCAGGGGCAGGGGGAGGGGCAGGGGTAGTAGGAGGGGCAAAAACGGGGAGGGGCAGGGGCAGGGGTAGGGGCAGGTGCAGGGGGAGGGGCAGGGGTAGTAGGTGGGGTAGGGGCAGCAGGGGCAGCAGGGGCAGCAGGGGCAGGGGCAGGGGCAGGGGCAGGGGCAGGGGCAGGGGCAGGGGCAGGGGCAGGGGCAGGGGCAGGGGCAGGGGCAGGGGCAGGGGCAGGGGCAGGGGCAGGGGCAGGGGCAGGGGCAGGGGCAAGGGCAGGGGGAGGGGCAGGGGTAGGGGCAGGGGCAGGGGCAGGGGGAGGGGCAGCGGTAGTAGGAGGGGCACGGGGAGGGGCAGGGGCAGGGGTAGGGGCAGGTGCAGGGGGAGGGGCAGGGGTAGTAGGTGGGGTAGGGGCAGGGGCAGGGGCAGGGGGAGGGGCAGGGGTAGCAGGAGGGGGGGGGAGGGGCAGGGGCAGGTGCAGGGGCAGGGGCAGGAGCAGGGGGAGGGGCAGGGGTAGTAGGTGGGGTAGGGGCAGAAGGAGGGGGTGGGGCAGGTGCAGCAGGAGAAAGAGGAGGCGAAGGGCTGGAGTGGAGAGGGAGGGGTGTTGTGACATGGGGGTGAGTGCGAGGCGATTGGGGTGGAGTGGGCTCTGCTAACATGGCTGTTCCGGCACTCCTTTGCTCCTCTTCTCCTTTCTCTGGGCGCTGCATGGCCTTGAGCCCCGCAACATCAGCATGGCAGCCCCCATTGCCCCTCCGCACTGCAGCAGCGCCTTCCCCAGCACTGCACGCACTTAGGGAAGCATCAGTAGTAGCGGGCAGAACGGCAATGCCATGCGTGGTGTGATACAGGGCGGTGGGATGCGCAGCGGTGGAGGCGGGACTGGCCATTGCAGGCGGAATGGCACAGAGAGCAGGGGGGGAGGCAGGCGCAGGAGCAGCAGGAGCAGAGGGAACAGCAGGAACAGGAGGGGGGAGTGAAGGTGCGTGTGACATGGCAGTGGCATCCCTGACAACCCCATTCAACATGCCAGCCACCAACCCGCCCTTGCTCCTCTCTGCTCTCCGCCCATCAGCAGCCACACACGATGCCATGCTGCCTCCACCCTGTGTCCCATCCCGCCCTTCCCTGCCACCCACACCACAAGCCGCCACACCCACGCACTCCTCGCTGCTGCTTCGCGATTCCACTTTCTCCTTCCTCTCCCCTTGTCTACTCCCTTTTCCCTGTACCCTAGCCACATCCTCCGTGCACCGATGTGCCTTGTCCACCGGCCTACCCTGCCCTCCCTCCAACTCGTCTACCTCCCGCTTGCCCACTTTCCCCCCTCTCTCTATCTTTTGCTCCCCAGTGTCACCCACTGTCACCCCCTCTGCCTCACACTGCTGCACCTGTGCGGCATGCCGCCCTTCAAGCCCCTCACCACCACCAGCGCTCCCCCCTGAGGTTTCCACGGCGTCTCTTCCACCCCGCCCACCACTGCCACCTGTTGCTTCACAGGCTTCACCCTCCCCACTGTGTTCCCCTGCCTGCCTGTGCGCTCCCTGGTTCTGCTGCAACGTGTTCTCACGTGCCCCCTCTGCATGTTGGGATGCACAAGACATGCCTTGCACAACCGCACTCTCACACCGCCTGCCCTCTCTCCCACCCTCTGCCATGCTGGCTCCCGCACATGCATTCTCTCCACGCGCATCCCCTCCTCTTTCCCCCGCACGCTCACCATGTGGTTGCACGGCCACAATACCGTCACAATCAACACGCATCTCAGCCACTGCCTGCGCCCCTGCCTCCTCGCCACTGCCACTCACCATCCCATTCGCCCGCTCGCTCAACCGCTCACCAGCACCCGCCATCTCTACTGCCAGCACTGCACCCGCCCTGCTTGCCCACCGTGCCTTGCCCTCGCCGCCACGCCCGTGTGCTGCACGCTCCACCGCGCCCACATGTGCGCCTGCCACCTGCCTCGAGCGCCTGCCTGCTGCCGCCATGCACCGCCCTGCATGCACCTCTACCGCATCGTCGCCGCCCTCTGACCTCGCACTCCCACCCACGTCATGCACCTCACCCTCGCCCTCCTCTCCACCGCTGCCCGCGCCTGCTGCTACAGCATCGCCAGCCACAGCCCCCCCACCCTGCACCTGCATGTCCTGCCCCACCCGCTCGCCCTCCTGCCCCACTTCTTCTGCCTTCACCCGTCTCTCCACATGCTCACCCACTGATATGCGCTTCTCTGCGTCTCTCTGTCCCACCTCCTCGCCTTGCCCTCCGCCCGTCCTCATGCCCGCTACCAGCACCTCCGCGTCCCCATCACGGGGCGGGCCCCCATTCCCCTCTCCCTCGCCGTCACCCATGGCATGCACCGTGCCCTCGCCGCTGCTGTCCGCTGCCAGGTCTCCTCTAATGCCATGCACGCCCCTCTCGCTGCCCTGCACCTCCTCCTCCTCCCCGTCTGCCCCGTCTGCCCCTGCCAGGCTCGCATCATCCCCCCACCGCCCCTGCATTTCTCCCTGCAGCAGCCCTCCTGCCACCACGTCACCCATGCCACACTCCCCACCTGCACCGCCCCCCTCTCTTCCCACCCCCCGCCCCTCCACGTCACCGTCCCACTTCCCCCCTGCCTGCGCCACCCGCCGCCGCTTGCCCCTGCCCTGCCTGCCATGGCCGCTGCTCTGCCCTGCTGCCCCGCCCTCCTCCTCGCTCGCCCTCTTCCCTGCGCTGCTGCTCCGCACCTGCCCTCCGCCTTCTCCCCCTGCTGCCCCTCTCTCGTCTGCGTCCGTGCCGCACACAAACACACAGCTGCCGCCAGCCATGGCCCCTGCAACTCCATGCAGGACTGCTGTGCCCAACTCTGCATGACTGCTCTGCACGGCCCCTGCTTCCTCCCCCTCCCGCATGCCTCTGCCTGCACTCGCCGCATCCATCCCAGTTTCTGGTCCTGCTGATTGCACCTCCCCCACCACCCCCACACCCCGCCCTCGCCTCTCTGCCTCGCAGCCACTTCCCTCACCACCGCCTCGCTCCTCACCATCTCCCAATCCATCTCTACTCGTCGCCCCACACTTTTCTTCCCCCTCCGTCCACTGTGACCCACCATCTTCGCTCACTGGACCCCTTGCATCCCCTGCACCCTCTCCTTCCCGCTGCCACTCACCTGCCAATTCACCTGCAGCGTCACACACATGCTTCCCTCGTCCCCCATCACCTGCACTGCCTCCCGTTCCTCCCCGCAACTTCCCAGCCTTACCACCCTCCTTCCTTCGCCTCTCACCCCCCCCAACGCCCACTCCCTGCCCACCTCTCCGCCACGCCTCCTCCACCGCTCTCATCAATTCCTCTCGACTATCACTGCTATGCGTCCGCCCACCATCCCCCAACTCCACTGCTCCCCTGCCACCACTGCCGTGTGCGCCGCTCATCACTGCCCCCTGCGCACCACGCACGGCAGCCATTAGTCGCTGCATCACTGCCTGCTGCTCTCTCTCTATGTGCCGCCACGCACGCACTAGCGCCCCCCCTCCTTCCTCCACTGCCTCACCCTGCATTGTGACCGTCCCTGCTCTTGCCCACCCATCAGACTGCGTCCTTCCACACGCACTCTCCCCAAGTGCCCCTTGTGCCACTTCCCCTACCAACTGCTCACGCCCGTCATCTCCATCCCCGGCCCCCCTGTTGCTCAACCTGCCCACACCTGCTGCTGCCACCACCTGCTGCTGCTGCTGCTGCTCGCCCTGACTTCCTGCCATTGCCCTGCCTCCCTGCTCCGCATCAACCACTCCCCCCGCCGTCACCCCCCTCGTTATCGCCCCCCCCTCCACACCCGCCTGCTCGATGACGTCACCGCACTGCCTGTGCAGCTGCTGCAGCTGGTTCAGCAGTTGTAGCATGAGCTGCACGCACACAGTGGCACGCAATATGGCAAGGCAACACGATGTAGCAAAGTGCACAAGAGAGGATTTCAAAAGAACGGTGCACGGATGAAGGGATAGGTGTGATACGGCATGACATGCAGGTAAGTGTGGAAGCAGAAACTGGTGATGGTGTGTGCGGCGCCGCAGAACAGCTTACATACATGCGTGCACTGGAAACCTTCAGCAAGGTGAGCTACAGGGTGAGGCAGCAGGTGGGTGAGGCACAGTGGTGGCATGCGAGGCAAGGGCCATACTGGCATGATGCATGTAGGGCAGGGCAGGACTCACTGGGAGTTGGAGGGCCGCACCAGTAGGCAGTGCGTGCTTCCCCGCTGCTGCATGCCGTTCGCCTGTGCCCCTGCCATGGCGCCAGCACGCACAGCATTGGGGGTGAGCGCGCATGTGGGCATGGGTTGGAGGAGAGGTGGTGTGCAAAACACAAGGTGCGGCAAGGCTGGGAGGCAGCAAGGCTGCAGGGCGAGCGCGGGGGTGCAGGGACGGGGATCACACGCAGGGTGAGTGGGAGTGCAGTGACAGCACGCGTGTGTGCATGGCCAACAGGACAGTGAGCTCCTATGCATGCTGTTACCCTCCCTGTCACCTCCATACTCCTCCGAACCTGCTCGCCTACAACCCCTTGCTCACACTGCGTGCCACTGGCACTGCACGCGGCTCACCCGTGCTCCATGCCCTGCATCTGGCGCCTCGCCCCTTCTCCCCGCGCGCAAACCTCTGCCCCCGCTGCTGCGACCGGTGCCACCCAGCCCTGCTGCGGCTGCCGTGCCCCCCTCTCCCCCTGCCCATCCCGCGCCTGCCCAGCCATGGCCGCCACCTCGTCCTCCTCACCCACGCCCCGCTCCTTCTCGCGCCCTTCCCTCTCTCCTCCTCCTCCTCCTCCTCCTCCTCCTCCCTCCTCCTCCTCCTCCTCCTCCTCCTCCTCCTCCTCCTCCTCCTCCTCCTCCTCCTCCTCCTCCTCCTCCTCTTCCTCTTCCTCAGCCTGTTGCCGCAGCCGCTGCTGCTGGCAGTACAGGGCAACTTCTGGGAAGATGCGCTCCTCAATGTCCGCAAGCTGCCGGTCGTACCTGCAGGCGCGCGGCATGGCATGGCATGGCATGGTGGGCGGGCGGGGAGGATGCCATGGGGGGGCGATGGGCGAATCAAGTGGAGTGAGGGGAAGCACTGAGGTCGGAGGCAACACCAAACTCCGAGAGGATAACACCAACCCACTGCTTTCCCCATGATGAGCCAACGAGGTTGCAGAGCGAAGTGACAATAAGGGGGTAGTTCACTGGGAATCATGCAGGAGGGGCCAGAAGCGTGCGGCAAGGGTGTTTGAGCGGTCCAAAGCACAGCGCATGGCTCATGGGGGCGACACGTTTGTCACGCCCATTGAGGCTACAGGACAAATACCTGCAGGCGTGCTGCAAGTGGAGGGAAAGGTGAGGGAGGATGGGGGAGAGAGGCGAGCGAGAGAGCACCTGAGGGCGTGCAGGGGTTGGTGGCCGAGGCTGACGTGGCATTCGGGGCAGCAGTTATCCCTGCCGTCCTCCAACGCCCCCTCTATGCACTCGCGACAGACTGCCACGCCCTCGCACAGCACGCGCAGGGGAGGCCGTGGGGGGGCGGAGGTGGGAGGTGGGGGAGCAAAGGTGGGTGATAGGAGGTGGGCGGGTTGGGGAAACATATGGGGGTTTGGGCCCGAGGGGAGAACAGGGGCAGAGAGGGGAAGAGAGGCAGGGGTAAGGGGTTTGTTTTGCAGCAAGGGCAAGGGGCGGAAGGTGAATGCACGGACGTGCTGCTGGCGGATCGCCTTGCGCAGCGGGGCGCGGGCGAGGGAGGGGGGAGGGTGAGCGGGGAGGGGGGAGGGGGGAGCGCCAGGCAGAGACGCCGCGATGAAACGCCGCCAGGTAGGTGAGCGGCGCGGGGAGGGGCGGGCGGGAGGAGGATGGGGCGTACAGGTGTGCAGGCACTCCATGACGGTGGTGGCGTGGCGGCACAACTGCCCGCACACCGGACACTTGAGGCACCGCCACAGCGCCGCGCGCGGCACGCGAATCACCTGGTCGCCCATTCGCCTCGCCGCACGCCCTCGCTGCTCGCCCAGCCCCCCTCTGCTCTCGCCTACGCTGCTCCGCAACCGGTACTAACACGCCAGACGCGCTCACGCGAGGCTGGCTGCAGGGTGGCAACGGCTGAAGAGGCGGGTTGAGCTGCGTGGTGCGCGAGGCACGAGTGGATGGAGGCGGGTGTGGTGGACGCCGACACACAGCGCGCTAAGAATGACCTCCTCATGCGCTGCGCGCCATCCACCACCTCGCCTAGCCTCGGTGCAACCTGAGGAGGGGATATTTTTCTCTCGGTTTTTGTGAGAAAAAGTTGCGGCCTGCCGTGACGCATCCTTGGCACAGCCTGGCCCGACAACAGCCAGAGGAATTTGGTGAAAATATACTCAAGAAATGTTTGCATTTTTCTCTAATATAACTCGAACATACATACGGTAAACATCACCAAAAATCCCACATGCTATAGAAATTCCATCCATAGTACAGTTTCGTCGACTATAAATTTAATTTCATTGTCAAACAGCATATTTGTTAGCTTGTAGGCTACAATGAGGTACTCTTTAGAGGGTACAACCCAATTAAGGTTCACTACTTGTATCTCATTGCTGCTAGTCATTCTCATTCCGCTGTTTACACCTTTGACATGGTATCAGACACTAGGTTAGGTCCGTACCTATTGTTGTTACTCCTGCCCATACACTGCCCTACGTGCCGCGCCTGCCCGCGCGTGTTGCCCTGCCTGCTGCCCCGCGCGCTGTGCCCGCCCGTGCGCACTGCCCTGCCTGTACGCTGCCCCGCACGTCGAGCCTGCCCGCACGCGCTGCCCTGCCCGTACGCTGCTCCGCGCTCTGCGCATGCCCGCGCGAACTGCCATACCCGTACGCTGCCATGCGCGCTGCACCTGCCCACGTGCTGCCCTGCCCGTACGTTGCCCCGCGCGCCATGCCTGCGTGGACGCGCTGCCCTGCCCATACGCTGCCCCGTGCGCTGCGCTTGCCCACGCGCTCTGCCCTGCCCACACGTTTCTCCGAGCGCTGCGCCTGCCCGCGCGCACTGCCCTGCCCGTGTGGTGTCCCGCGCGCCGCGCCTGCCCGTACGTGCTGCCCTGCTGCCCAGCGTGAAGCGCGCTTTGTCGTCCCGCTACCGTGCCCGTAGCTGCCCCGCACGATGCGCACCCTGCTGCCCCCACTGCCCCACAACCCAAAGCACTGTTTCGGGCTCCGTTTTCTGCTTCGGGGGTGCCACACTGTTCTTGCCCCTCAGCTCCGCACGCCTTTTCTTCACTTTCCAACACGCCCAGATGTACTGTAGCGCTGCAAAATTCGCACATTTCATTTTTTGCTAACCGCTGCTCCACATCGCCCTTGTCGTTCTCCATCGGGTCGGCAGTCGTGGGTGGTGCCAATCGCCCCATGCCACTATTTGGCTTGTTGCGTCGTGTTCCGTAGTAGCTACTGTTCAACGCGTCGAACTGTTCGATCAGTGCTGCCCAAAACTGCGCCCACGTCCCTTCGCCTTGGACTATTCTGTTGCTAATCCACTACAAAGCTGGGCCTCGTAACAGTGTTGCTGCGAGCCATATGCGTATTGCGTCTTGGGTAAACGTGTCCAACGGCTCGCGATGTAGGATAAGTCAGGCCTGCATGTGACAGCGGCGAAGAGAAGGCAGCCGAGTTGTTGCTGGTACAGCCGATGTTCGGTGGGATTGAGTAGTTTTGTGATGACGGGGTCGTGCATCCAACGGCTTCGAATAAAATTTCGAGCTCAGCTATGAATCAACGGACGTCGCCCCCTTTCACTATGGGATCGAACGCGTCTGGTTGTCTCGGCTTCGCTGCTTCGAGATTGACTATAGCTGCTGCAGTTGTCGCAGATGCAATTGTCGGTGTCGCCGTCGTTGCTGCTGCTGCTGCTGCGGCTGCTGCGGCTACCGACTAGTTCGCAAGGAGTTTTTCGAGTCGTGGGAGTGCCGCACGTATTTCCTCATGCTCGGCACGTAACTCCGCGATTTTCTGTACTAAATTCTTTCTATTTCCCGTTATCTGGCAATTTACAGGAAGATGCACGACGGACATAACTGAATTCAATGTGCTGGTCGACTTACTGCGAGTCCAATCGACAATAAATTCGACGAGCGCGATTTCTGGAGGTCGCGTAAATCTCCCTTAGATGAAATTCGTGTTTGATCTCGACCATTGAGGAAGAACTCGATCCGACGCTCCAAATTCCAACTGTTTTGGGCAAACCTTTCTGGGCCGTTGAGTTTCGATTCGATCGAACGGTCGAAATTCTAACCTTTTCACCGATAAATCTGAGGGGTGTTCGAAAACCGAATCGAGGGGGACTTCGAAAATTTGCGTGGAAATGGTTTTACATACCCGTATCGGCGCTTTCGTCGTCGCCCCCGCGGTTTTTAAAGGCCGGAACTAAACGGTTGAAGACCTCACGTGCACACTCGCTTTGGTTACCAAGTGTGAGGATCTGGTTTAGGAAAAATAAATATATTGAATGTTTCACGTGGGTACCAGGGCTGACGTTAGGTTTGTCGCCAGCTCGGACGTTTTGGCTCGCTTACGAAAATGCCCTGAAAACGCACGTTCGGGCTAAAAACTATTCGGAAAAATCAGGGCTAACCAAAGAAACCCCCATTTGTGTTATTCGATAGTTTTGCGGGAGGGATGCTTCTGACAAAAGCTGATGTTAAAACTGTGTGCGTTCGTGGACTGTGCTGCAGGTGCACTTGTGCTGCTTTGGTGTGAATCTCTGCTCACAGAGAGCAAGTTCAGTACACAAAAGCCGAATTTGACTAAGGAACAGAGGGGCGGAAGGAAAGGTGTCACATGTCCACGAAGAGGGGGAGAACTTTGCTTGTACTGAGGGGGAGGGGGTAAGGTTGGAGATGGCAAGAGGCCTGGAAAAAACTTCCGAGTCCTTCCAGGGAATACTCGGATTCCTCAGAGTCAGTCCTGGTAGAGCTCGGAATCAGTCAGGGCTGGCTGAAAAAAATCCCCTCTAAAAATCCGAGTTCGGCTAAATAATACCTTGGATTTCCAATCAAGAACGAGCATTGACCCTAACAGCCTGAGCCCTGGTGGGTACTGAGCGAGGCTATATATAGGCTCGACACAAAGGCAGTAACCCGGGTGTTACTAGAAGGTTCCGCGGGTCGCGAAGCGTCCCGAACGGGTCCTTCCCGAATTCAATAGAAGGCAATTCACTGGCAACCAAAAAGCCTAGAATTCGGTGCACTCAACCTAGTTCAGTGTCTATATATATAATAACTATAGTAAAAGCAACGAACCTAGGAAATCAAGCAAAGGTAAGTACAATAAAATAAATCTGAGCCAGATAATGCGTAATAAAGCAGAATCAAGCAAGTAAAGTCCAGCAAAGCCGTCGTACTCTCACATCCGCCAGGCGCCGCGTGAGTGGCACGACACATTGAGGACTACACTTGCGGCTCTTGGGTTTGCTCCTTCGACTGCTGACCCGTCGCTGTTCCTGCGTACCAACCCTTCTCTCCCGACGTATCACATCTTCAAGTACGTCGACGACTTGGTCTTTGCTACTGCTGACACTGAGGCGCTAGCCCTTGTGAAGTCGGAGCAGCAAAAGAGATACATCTGCATTGATCTGGTTGAGCTGCGCAACTATCTTGGCTTGCAAGTCACCCGGGACTGAGCACGGCGCACCATCACTATAACTCAGTCACATATGGTGCAGCAGGTCCTTCAGCGCTTCGGCTTCGAGTTCTCCTCGCCACAATCCACTCCTCTGCCTACGAGCCACTCGCTCTCAGCTCCACCTTCGGAAGAGTCCGTAGAGCCGAGTGGTCAGTATCCAGAGCTTGTGGGTTGCCTCATGTACCTGATGACGTGCACATTTCCCTTTATCTGGCGATTTACAGGAAGATGCACGACGAACATAATTGAATTCAATGTGCTGGTTGACTTACTGCGAGGCCAATCGACTGTAAAATTGACGAGCGCAATTTCTGAAGGTCGCGTTAATCTCCCTAAGATGAAATTTGTGTTCGATCTCGACCGTTGAGGAAGAACTCGATCCGACGCTCCAAATTCCAACTGTTTTGGGCAAACCTTTCTGGGCCTTTGAGATTAGATTTGATCGAATAGTCGAAATTCCAACCTTTTTACCAGTAAATCTGAGGGGTGTTCGAAAACCGAATCGAGGGGGACTTCGAAAATCTGCGCGGAACTGGTTTACATACCCCTATCGGCGCTTTCGTCGTCGCCTCTGCGGTTTTTAAAGGCCGGAACTAAACGGTTGAAGACCTCACGTGCAAACTCGCTTCGATTACCAAGTGTGAGGATCGGGTTCAGGAAAATAGATATATTGAATGTTTCACGTGGGTACCAGGGCCGACGTTAGGTTTGTCGCCAGCTCGGAAGTTTTGGCCCCCTTACGAGAATGCTCTGAAAACGCAAGGTCGGGCTAAAAACCGTTCGGAAAAATCAGGGCCAACCAAAGAAACCCCCGTTTGCGTTATTCGATAGTTTTGCGGGAGGGACGCTTCTGACAAAAGCTGATGTTAAAATTGTGTGCGTTGGTGGACTTGTGCTGTTGGTGCACTTGTGCTGCTTTGGTGTGAATCTCTGCTCACAGAGAGCAAGTTCGGTACACAATAGCCGAATTTGACTAAGGAACAGAGGGGCGGAAGGGAAGGTGTTACATGTCTAGGAAGAGGGGGAGAAGTTTGCTTGTGTTGAGGGGGAGGAGGTAAGGTTGGAGATGGCAAGAGCCCTGGAAAAAAGTTCCAAGTCCTTCCAAGGAATACTCGGATTCCTCATGACGTGGTGCAGAGCGCCTTGGCACGCCCCGATGCACCGCGGTGCACCGGGTTTTGAATCTTCCGTGCACACGTGAACCCGGTGCATTGCCTCGTCCCGGGCCGTGCCGGGACGAGGCGATGCACCGACGCGTGCCGGCACGCCCTGGAGCGTGCCCTGGGGCGCCCCAGGATGCTCGAAAAGCTTGCGAACTCTCGAAA